AAAAGACGTGTCTTGACCTAACCTAGCCTTACCTAAATTCAGTCAAAAGACCATTGGTCAGTTAGTTATTCAGGTTTAGGCCTTTTCGGGTTAAGGCCTTTTCTGTTTTAGGCTTTTTCGGATTTAGACCTTTTCGGTGAGTCCCAGTTTATCAAATGCCTTACAATATTTAATGCTATTTCAAACTGTAATCATAGCTATATTTCATTAAAATACAGTGTTCTGTACGGGCTTGTCCAAATGTACAACTGTTTATTTTTTCAATGTTAATCCTATTATTTTTCTAAGTGTTTTATGATAACCGTAGTTAACTATAAAGGTCGCTCACATTATCGGCCTTTTCGTACATGTGCTCAAACCTAACCAACACCTCTCTGTCCGACCACTTCTCTAATGTTAGCAACCGGACCGACTCCGGGAGCTGATCGCCGACACCCGAAAAACTGGTGGAGTATTCCCCGGAATATTCCTCACGAGTCTTATACGTCGCGAACGTCTCGATGGGTCCCATAAATAGCTGCTCCGATAGGCGGCGCACAAGTCGTGGTGATTGGGCTATGGGCTGAAGGAAGAGGTAGTGTTTACCCCTGACCTCCAAACCCTTACCATCGATGCCGGTCTCGTTGAGGACTAGGCCACTACCGGCGCCTGAATATTGAAGCCGCCGGTGAACCATGAGCTCCACCGACCCGTCCATTAGCGACGAACCGCCCTGAGTCCGGTCATTTAGGACAGTCAGTGCTAGACCTTAATTATTACAATATTAAATTATCTTGCTTGCTTACTTCCATAAAAAACTTTCCATACATACATCCCATAACTCAACTAATTGTGAACCTTTTCTAACGACTCAATGGTTTGTGTTTGAAAATCATAACATGGACAATTTGTGAATATATATGTTTTTCGGACCTTAAACAACATATCCTGGAATTATATTGTGCCAAAGAAAGTTATAACTAATTTTAATTAATTTTTATATTTAAACACTTCTTCCTTAACATAAGCAAATAACATGGGATTTCGATTCACATATAACGTTATTTTATTAGGCGGTGGTGGATAGGGGTTAATAACATTAACAGTTCATCTTTAAAATTTAATTTAAGTTAGTTATAACTTTTCGTTAGCACAATATATTTTCAAGATATGTTGTTTACGGTCCGTGCAACATTTTTATTCACAAATTGACCATGGTATGATTTGCAAACACAAACCAGTGACTCGTGAGTAGGCATTCACATATGAATAACTAAATCGATTTACATAATTGAGTCATATGTGAAAGCCTACCGAACATCAAAAACGTTTTCAATTAACTACCATTGCCAAACTTCCTATAACTATTATAATGTCCATATAAATATCTAACAAGAGATTAACTTACCCTGTTTCTCATCTCTAATGGCCACGTGACTATAAATCGGGAACCAATTAGCGGCGATCACATTATTGCCGCAAATCTTCGCCTGCGGATTAAACTTCCGGCGTATGGTTTGCCTGCCGTTGGCGTCCGTATAGTACACGCCATCCGACTTCAAATCCGACTCAAACCGCGTGATTATCTCTTTGCCAATCTTATCGGCGATAGGTATACCCCCTACCGTCCAGTCAAATTCAATATAATCCCTGTCCTCATAGGTACGTACTGTTTGGTGTATGTAGTCGGCAAACACCTGGCTCAGTTCGTGAACACCTCCCGACGTGTGCCGGGCCACCAGTTTTTGAGTGCCGTAGTCGCGGGCGTTACCGTCCGGACAGAAGTTATAGCTCCCGGAGTCCTCGAGGGGCGGCTGATTGCCCACCGATTTGTACCATTTGAACGATTGACGTAATTTATGGGTCGTCCCGTTGACGGTTATGGACTCGATGGCACCGGTAGTCTCGTTAATGTGCAACGTAAATGATTTCCCTTTCATGTCTATCGGGGCCTGGGCTTGTTGATTATTGTCCATTGTATGGGTATCTAGGTATTTTAGAAATCATTATTAGTAATGTATATTTAATTAATTTAGTAAACTTAAGTAAAAAATTAATGATAAATTTTCTTATTTAAATATGTGTGTGAATTAGAAATTTAATAAATATTATTTAATCAAGTTAGTTTGAGTAATTAAATTTTAAATATAATAAATTAAAATTTATTAATAAACCAGAAGTTTATACTAATAACACTATCATGTTTGAATCATAAATTTTAATTTAATTAGTTTTTTAAAGTGAGTAGATCATTTCTTAAATTACCTTTTATAGCTTTTTGTTTCTCTACAAAATATGTCGTAAACCCCAGGGCGGGTAACTGCCCACTAAATACCAACTCATGGGTTCCTAAACTACCATTACGTTCGGGTAACTTTCGGACATCGTCTGACACCGGGAGTATGCCAACGGACTTAACCGCCTGTCCTTTTTCATCAAACACCTCATACTTGGCGTCGACCACCGGTACCCTAATATAATGTTCGACGGGTCGGGCGATCGGGTTATACACAGTGACGGCAATCCTGTCGTTAGTCTCCGTTAGACTGCAATCCGTTATATTCAATGCATCGCAGAAAACGTCACTTAAAACCACTTTTTTGTCACCAGTTTTAGACTTCAAGTACTCAAAAGCCTTTCGGATAACGGCTTTACTGGCGGCGTATCCCGACTGAAGTCGACCCGTGTACCCATCGCATACGCCCTGGGAGCAGGTGCCGGTGATGGCGTCGTGGTGTGTCATTATAGCCACCTCATTGGCTGCCTCGTCCAGGTATGCTTTTGTTTTAGCCGGGTCTAAACGCCCTATTACTGATAACTGCTTGCTCGCCTTTAATAAGTAGTGGAAAGGTATAAATATCTATATTAGTTGATGCTATTTAAAAAAATGTTGATATTATATAGTTGGACTAAAAAAACATATTTCAACTTTACTTTTATAAAAATTGTATAAAAATAATATCCAATTGTTTAAAAGCAGAGTTAAAGTATATTTCTTGGTTATTATGTACAGAATAATATTATTAAAATAATTTTTTATTTACTATAATTAATTTATAAGTGCTAATATTTAATTCGAAAATATTGTTCATTATTTTACCTTACTGTTTTAATTAGTTATTTTAAAAGGTATTTTATAGTCAAAGGTAATATTTCTTACCTGCAAAATATTATTAGTCTGTCTATCCTGATATTTCAATGCCGGCCTATTCGTGTAGTAGCCCACCCAATACGACAAGTAGTCGACATCTCGTTCCGCATACGACAAGTTCATACCATTAAGCGCTTTAATATAACAATTAGGCGACGAGTATATCATATTGACATCGGGATGGCTAGCCTTAGTCTCCTTGATCAGTTTATCCATGTTATCGTACCACTTACTGGCAACATCATAAAAAAAATCGCCGCCCATCGTGACCAACACGTGACTAGAGTTACCATAATCTTTGTTCCAATTCCGGGAATAGTCGATAAACTTAACGGTCCTCTCCTTGACATTGGCGTCGGTTATGGATTCGTTGGCGTTCTCGAAGTTGAACCCTCCGGGCGGGTAGTAGTGGTCGTGCAAAACGGTGGTGAACACCTTGGTATTCAGATCCTTGGACGTGTGCCATATGTACTCGCCCTTCTGTACGCCCCGGTTGTACACGTTGGCGTCGAACCCCATTAGGCCGAATAGCCCCGCCATTTCGATGGAGGCGCCAAATGGGTCAATTTGCCAGGATATTTTTGGTCTACCACAGGTCCCGAATGTTTGGTTTAAGAATTTCAGTCCTGAAAAGTGAATATCAAAACTATTAAAATATAATATAATCTATATGGTATTATTTATTTATTAAATGTATCTATATGTGTTTAAAATATACAAAACAAGTTAATGAGCTCTACAATTATATTACAGTATATATCATTGGTTTCCAAACTGTCACTTATATGACAACTAGCCTTGTAACATCTTTACATTTTCAAACATTTGATTCAATACTAGTTATTTTATTTATAATAAGTCAGTACTCACTTTATTTGATTTAAAAATTAATATGTTAATATTTTGTTTATGAATATTTGTTAATCATAAGTATTTATAATAAGCAAAAACTATAATAATCATGTTTATGACTAATAAATATTTGTATGTATGAAAATGAATTTATTATTAATTTTTAAACTATGACTTTTAACTTCAAGTGATAGAGATTAATAAAATAACTAGTGTTTGATCAAATTCTTTAAAATGCAAAGTTGTTACAAGGTTAGTTGTCACTATATTTATAAAATGACAACCACTGGTATATATTAATAATTGTTATATGAATGCAAAGTTTATGAACAGTATTGTTTTAATTTATCGGCGTCTCAAAAATGAAACTTATTTATAAAACAAAATTACTTATTATTTTCACGTACTGTACAGTATAGTGGAATTGTAAAATACAAATTAATAAACTAAACGTTTACATACCCATGGTCATTTGATCAATAATATTATTATAATGAGCGGCACCCTCATCATTCACCGTCCAACCACCATTAATAAACACTAGCCTACCCTCGGCCACCAATTTCCTAACTACATCCCGGAGCTCGTCTGTCTGACTCAGCCACCATCGGTGGAAAAAATACATTTCCACCTGGGTGTATTTACGTGCCGGGTCCTTTTGCAACTCCTCCACTACGGTGCCTAAAATCTTTACGACGTGATCGTCGTACAATTGGTCCGCGGTATTAACCCAGCCGACATCGTTGTGGGAGTGGGCGATGAGGTGTATGTTCAGCTTATGGGGATCGGTAGCCGGACAGGCGTCGTAACCGCACTTACCCGACACGCCCTCCCATACGCATATAAGCAGCGAAATTAGTAGTAGTTTCATGGGCAGATTAATTTTTAAAAATGATTATGATACAATATGTATTGCAAAGCTATTTATATGTGATTTGCACACGGACCTGAGCATGTACATTTGCACTAGTAATAAGTGCATTAATAACAAATATTATTGTGAAATTGATTTACTTGCACTACGGTGCATTAGTAAAAGTGCCTAGTGATAATTTCTATGAAGTATCACATAAATCTGTTATATTTCCCACAGTATTAGGTTGCACAATTGTTTTTCAAATTAATAATGTTCGTTCTAAAAAATATAAGATTACTAGTACAAGTGGAGGGCAAATGAGTATATTTGTTGAAGTATCTATAGAAATTTATTTTTAAACTAATGTTTGCACTATACACAATAATTCAGAATTATATCACTTATAAAACAGAATAAATTTTAAACTACTAAGTGCTAAGCAACAAGTTAAGTTAATAAAATTATATTATAATTTAATATTTCATATAAATAACATATTTTTATTTAAATTATAATTAATAGTAATTTTGATGTTTATATGATATAAACAGTTTGACAAAACCCTTTGGACTCGATGTCTTAATATTACTATATGTGAGAGTTGAGCTAGATCAATATAAATTTTTTGAGAAACATGGTTTTATTGCACCAATATGTTAATATGCCCTATTTGTGCCTGCTCAAAAGGGGTCGGGATGGGGAACGGGTCATCTAGATCTCAAAAAATATAGGTGATAATCGAATTCTGATTTTTGTAAATGATGAGCGAGGTCATTTCTAAAAATGTTATTTCTGGATTTCTCGAAATTTTACTTCGTTGATTTTTAAAAATTCTCTAAATGTCAAATATTGATATTTTATAATGTATTATAGCTGTAGGGAACTGCTACAGCTGGACTCGAACCAGGTACCTGCCTCGTGCAAGGCATAGGTGCACAGCACTGCGCCACACTAGGTAGGTTAGTGTGGACAAGTACAAGAGATCAAATGGACAGTCATAATGTTAGAATATGAATGTTTTGTATGATATATTTCTTTCCCCTTACCATTGTATCGCTTCCGGCTTTATAGACGGGCAATGGGGACAGATTTTTAAATATTGATTATCGGTATAAAATAGTAGCACAGACCGCAGTAGTCAGACCAACTGGTGATTGAGTACAGCTCAACATAGCCTGCTGTATCGCATTCATGATTGACTTAGCTGTCAGCATCTTTGGCTGTATTACTATCGATCCAAGGGTTCAAGCCAAATGTGCTGTGATGTAACCTTGGACATTCACTGTTTTTACTCCCGAAGTGGTGACTGTCAGTTCGGTTAAGTTCATTGAACCCTATACCTAGGAATTGTAATGAATGGCCTACTTGCATAAAGGGGTTGGCAAGTATCATATGGGGCAGCCAAGGGATATAGTTCATTGAACCAGGACAGAAATTCAATGTATTTATTTAGGATCTCTGCTCTACTTTAACGAGTGATTCTAATGATCTGCAAGAAGGCGTAACTTGTCAACTGTGTGCGCCTGGTATTCATTGGGTTCGGGAGATGGTCAGACCTTATCGGTAAGTATAAGGCAAGATTTTCGGTTCTACCTTATAAGACCTAAAACCGAAAAGTCCTAAACCTGAAAAGGCCTAAACCCGAAAAGGCCTAAACTCATATAACTAACTGACCAGTGGATATATTTTTAATTTCATTAGTGGAAAAGACGTGTCTTGACCTAACCTAGCCTTACCTAAATTCAGTCAAAAGACCATTGGTCAGTTAGTTATTCAGGTTTAGGCCTTTTCGGGTTAAGGCCTTTTCTGTTTTAGGCTTTTTCGGATTTAGGCCTTTTCGGATTTAGGCCTTTTCGGATTTAGGCCTTTTCGGATTTAGGCCTTTTCGGTGAGTCCCAGTTTATCAAATGCCTTACAATATTTAATGCTATTTCAAACCGTAATCATAGCTATATTTCATTAAAATACAGTGTTCTGTACGGGCTTGTCCAAATGTACAACTGTTTATTTTTTCAATGTTAATCCTATTATTTTTCTAAGTGTTTTATGATAACCGTAGTTAACTATATGCCTCATGCTTAAATACGTACACATTTTTATGGAGTTGAGAGTTTATGGTGGCACTAAAACTCAATATTATATAATAAGAAATCTACCCAGATGATTAATTTTTATTCGAGCAGTACTTGACTCTAAGGTTGAGTATTATCTAACTGTTTGTCCTCTTAATCATAGCTTTTACTCATACTATACGACAAATGTTTGCGAAATTTAAAATTCATAATTATTTTAACATATTTTCAAAAAATTTATAATCAGAACCAATTCTACGTTAATAAAAATAAGCAGGTCATTATTTATAATAAAACTTAAAATCACTACTAGATGAATCAATATAATTTAATGATTGTAACATAACGTAAACTAATATAATATTAACATTGTAATTGAAATTTTATTATTGTGTTTTTATGTTTACTTAGACCACAAGTGATTATTGTAACTATACAGATATGAACAGGATTATTTTAGTTTTATATCTAAATATCTTATACTTCTATACATTTGTTAACACAAAACCATATTTTCATTTCTCACGAAAGTATTAATACAAAAATAGTAAAAAATAAAACGTGTCATACATTTAGTTCATTATATTTAACTAAAAAAATATTATATAAAAATTTAATATGAATTTTAAACAAGCTGTGTGTTTAGCCCTGGTGGCCAGTCATATGGTATATGGTAGGGATGATGGGACAGTACGTACCCCTCCCATGGGTTGGCTATCATGGTCTCGATATGGCTGTGAAATAGACTGCAAACGGTATCCAAAGGCCTGTATTAATGAACAGCTTTATAGGGAACAGGCGGACAGGCTGTCCACTGATGGCTATAAGGAGTTGGGCTATAGTTATGTGAATATAGACGACTGTTGGAGCGAAATGGAAAGGGATGTCGACAATAGACTGGTGGCTAATAAGCAAAGGTTTCCGAGTGGTATGAAAGCGCTGGCAGATTATGTCCACTCAAAAGGCCTTAAGTTAGGTATTTATGGTGATGTGGGTCCCAAAACTTGTGCTGGGTGAGTTTGTTTTATTATATTGAGACTTGCTTTTATTAAATACATGAATATTTTGGTAATAACAAAATTTAACGTTCAAGGTAACAAAATATTTTACGATAAACTGATCAGCCAGATAATAATAGCAACGCTAATTTTTAATGCAACCCGCATAATATAATTCAGAATTTAAGATTTTATATTGTAACCCATACATTAACAAAATTTTTGATCTACAACAATTACTAATGTTATGGGTATTAGCAACTAGCACCATGAATGTTAATCTATGGTGTAATATTTAAGTTAATCACAAAGTATAAATATCCTATACAAGTTACAAGTAGTTTTTTTTGAAATAATAACTAATATTAATGCAACAATTATCATCAATAGCTACCCGGGACAAAATGGCAAAAATGACTCTGGTGATTATTATACACTGGACGCTAAAACATTCGCTGAATGGGGAGTCGACTCATTAAAGTTTGACGGATGCAATCAAGATGTTAAACAATTTGATCACTTATACCCTCAAATGGGAAATGCCTTAAATACGTCGGGTCAGCACCTAGTTCATATTATCACGACCTTAATGAGCAGTTTATATATAATAATATTTATTTATACTAGGTCGTCCCATAGTGTACATTTGTGAGTGGCCCCCGTTTCAAGTGGCATCACATGTCCAAACAGATTATAAGGCAGTCACCGATAGTTGTCACGTGTTTGGTAGTCATAGCGGGGATATACAGCAATCGTGGGAAAGCATAGCGTCTGTGCTAGATTATTTTGGTGATAATTACGACTGGATGAGTAAATATCATGGTAATTAGTATTTTAAGAAATTTTAACAATTCACTAGTTGACCGTAATTTATTTATTATAGGACCGGGACACTTTTTTGATCCAGGTGAAAATTTATTTTTTTTAATTATTTCAAATTAATTATAAATATTAAATTGTTGTATACGTAATGGACAGACATGCTAGTGGTCGGCAATTACGGTCTGTCCCACGAGCAAAGTCGCACCCAATTCGCAATGTGGGCCATGTTTTCGGCCCCCCTTTACATGTCCAACGACTTGAGAGACATCTCTACGGACGACATGAAAATACTACAAAATAAGGCCATCATTGGTGTGAATCAGGACAGGAATGGCGTGTTGGCTAAACGGTTGGTCAAAGTAGGTGTTACCTAAATGTTGTAATATTTTTTTATTTATATAAATATTATTAAATATAATTTATTTGATAGGTAAACAGCCAACAGGTATGGGTAAAACGGGTGGAGCCACAGGTGAACGGCCAGTGGTCTTACGCCGTGGTATACATCGACGCCAACCCTATCGGTGACAAACATTACGTTAGTTTCTGACAAATATTTTTAATTTATAACTAAAATTAGTTTTCATTTTATTTGACAGATAAACTTGGTAAACTTGGAGTATATATTACCCGACGCTAAGCCGACTACTGAATATGTCGTACACGACCTGTACATGGATGAGGGCAAAGATGTGCTTGGTACTTTAAAATCAAGCGATAATTTGGAGTTGCTAGTTAAAACGGGTGGCGGTTGCCGTATGGTTAAACTTGTGCCAAAATGAATTCCGAAAAAAGTAACTCAATTTTGAATAATAAATTGCCTTGATACTAATAAAAATAATTGTTCATATCCAAATTATAAAATTATTTTATTTGCGCATTGCCTCAATATTTCATTTACGATAATATTACTTATTTATTAACTATAATATAATTTTGAATTATCTGCTTTAATTTTTAAGTTCAATTATTTGACCATGCTCAGCTTCCTCGATAGTATCAGCTATTTCGATGCCTTTCGTTTCTGGTAAAAACATTACAAAAATTGCCGCAATGACTGATATGGTGCCATACATGACCATAACAGCAGCCAGACCATATGTTGCTGTCTGTGTAATTAAGCATAAATAATATTTTAATAAATAATAATATTGCACCAATTACAATTCGTTTATATATGAACATTGTCCGAAACAGACGCCTCATTAATATTTGCCATTATGGCATATGCCTGTTGTCAATGAATTTTTATAGCTTAGTATTGAGATAATGTTAAAATGTTTAAAATTTTGTCACTCATAGTGTGACCTGGATTTACTCGAGTTAGCATCGCAACTGTACAATATACTTTATACTACAAAAGGACAAGTACCCAAAACATAAACCACCATACATGCCCGGCATAATGTATAACTGATCAACATTTATTAAATAAATGACCTAACCTAAAAAAACTCACCAAATCCTTCATAAATGGTCCGCCAATAGCGCCAATCCTACCGACCACAGAGGCCGCCCCTATTCCCCGTTGCCTGAGTACAGTCGGGTACAGTTCCTGCTCCATAATGTACATCATATTCCAGGCGCTGCCCACACCAAACTTGCTGACCAGTGCCCAGGTCACTTTGAGCCAATCGCTCCGGGAGGGTATTACCGCCAAACTAGCCATACTTGCTATGAGCATAAATATGGCCAACAATTTGCGGCGACCGATAAACCGCATTAATAGGACAGTTATCAGTTGGGCGGGTAGCCCAACCAATCCCGATAGTAAGTAGGTGATGTAAAAATTGCCACCATAATCGGCCATGTTAAAACTTAAGGCGTAGTATAGTATGGCCAACACGATCGACAAATACCATAAGATTAAAGTTATTTTTCGAAGTGTTGGCGTTTTTAATATGTCCAGTACTGTGATATTTTTAACTGGCTTCTCTTTTGATTGTAGCTGTATGAATTTTAAACTTAAAATGTATTTTATATATAATTTTTAATATTATATAATAATATATATAAACCTGTTTCAAATGGTCGGACAACTCAGTCAACTGATGCGTAAGATTTTCGTCGGACTTTCCGTTCATTTTGAGTGCTTTCCGGAGCGTATGTTCCGCGCGATCGACGTATCCGTTGGTTATGAGCCAACGCGGGCTCTCAAACATATAGTAATACCAAAACACCATTAATACCAATACGACGACTGATACTAATTGCATGAATCGGTAGTCCTGGAGCCAATACGCCAGTCCCGGTACTAAAGCGTGACCAGCTACCCATCCCATACAACATAGTACGACTATTGTATCCCGGTACTTTGGCCCGCTAATTTCCAACACTTATAAAGTGTTGACCATATTTATTATAAATATTAACATAAGCTATAATACTTTATACACACGTGTTATAAATACGGCACTTCCCCTCCCGTTGCTACCGCATGCTACCACAAATCGTGCTAATGAATAAAGGTAAATATTGGGGGCGAGTACGCACGCTAAAATGCCCACGATCTCAAATGTAAACGCTACCCATATAATAGGTCGTCGGCCATATTTATCGGAGTAGTGCGATAATACCAGTCCCGACAATATGTAGCCCAACATGTAGGCCGTTTGCGAGTACGAGGCGTACAGTGTTCGGTCGCACACCAGGTTGAACTAGTATGATTTTATTTGTTGTAATTATTATGTTAAAATAATTGTTTTGTTAAAATAAAAATTATATTAATTTCCGCAAACTTGGGTAATTATTGAGTTGCCAAACTGTGTCCGATCATATTGCCATTCCGTGCAGCGTTCGCTAGATGCATTAAATTTAAAGCATTTCATAGCATCTGTTTTATTCTGTAAATATAGATTTTTAAATGATAATTATTATACTAGGTAATTTTTGGGATTAGCAAATTATAAACTACATAGGATTAGCATATTCTGAAATTATTTATGTTACGTTTAAACATACTGTATATTAATATGACAGCCTTAATTTATGTTACCTGATAATCTAATGGGACATCCTTGCACCAATAGTCGTTGCTATAAGCGTGAAACCCATAGCCCATGTTATTAAGAGCACTAACGGCATCCAATATAAATGTGTAAATCACAAAGGTAAATTGCCATTTACCCCATTCACCAATTATATCGGATACATGTTTAACCTCAGGTATTTGCACGTTCATATTAGGCAGCTAGTTTTTAACGAGATTACCATTTGCACTATTTTGTACTTAATTAACTATTAACTATTTGCAACGTTGATTGAATATTGTCATTTAATAAAAATTATAACTAACGATGATATGATTATATTATCAATCTTAGATTAAAGTCATATTACATTATTTATAAACATTAGCTACATTTTCGTAAATATACACTAATAGCAAAATAATATTTTTCTAGTATTTCTAATATTATCACATAAGTAAAATGATCATTTTTAAACATAATTTATTATGTTTAACAATTTTAGGTTAAAAATAGTCAAGATTGTTATAAATAATTTTTCTTTAAATATGTTATTATTGTATTTGTGCCATTCTAGTAATATGGCAATAAATTGGGTTTTAAATTTTTAATTTATTGTAAGATTCCACTCGCTTTATCAATACAAATAAAATAATGATAAATGCTCATTTATTTACACAAGTATCATTTTTTAGACGGATGACCTTGTTTTATGACATAAAATTTATATCATTTCAATTATAAATGCTTATGCTTAATGTAAAATACAGTTTGTTAATACAGTGTGTTTAAACTAAATTAAGTCTGTAAAAAATTAACTACAACAAAAGTATTTATATAAGAATAATTATAAATTTAACATTAAACTAAATTGTTATAAAAACATACAGTGTATTAATAATAAATATTGTATTTATAAAAATAGTAAATTAACCAAACATAAAATAATCAGGTTAAATAGTACAGTATAATATAATGGATAACAATTAAAATTTAATTAAAATTAAATTCAGAATATATGAACCTGATTATTGCAGATATTATTACAAATTGTTATTATTATTACATCTATATATTATAATAACTTGTATTACAATTCTAAGTATAAAATTTTTAATCTTCATTTAACTATATATAGCAATAAATAGTGCAATAAATACCTGATAAACTTGTAAATTGTTTAATTATATAAGTAATTCGTAAAAATATTGATTTTTATTAATATGTTTAAAAATTATATACTTATTATATAATATAATAATGTCACTAAATATAATCATAAATGTGCTCATTCTGATTAATATAACTATTATGATTAGCAGTATTGTTAATATTTGAGTCATTGTGAGTATAATTATTAGTACAATAAATATACTGTCGCTCATAATTATTTTCAATATTACCAGGTATAATATAAGAATTGCTTCTAGTATTATATCTAGTATTAAGATTAACAGTATCCATAGTATTGGTGTCCCGTAGCGCTGGTAGTCTACTTGAGTACCTCAGGTGCATAAGCGGTGAATAGTGTTTGTGATACCAAAAGTACAATGATACAAATACCAAACTCGCAATCAGCAAGCATAATAATGTGACACCAAATATTAGCCATAAAACTGTAAAATATATTAATTTAATATTATTTAATTATTAATTAAATTATACCTGGTACGCTTGAATTAGAAAATGTTGTAGGTGTAGTTACTGAAATATAATCATGAAAATCTTCCTGGTTCATTGAATACAAATTTTTATTGCCATAATTTTGACACTGTACATTTAATAATTTGTCGGCCGCAAAAACACCTTGCTCATATATCCATTTAATAGCATCGTAACTACAATGTACGGGATTTTTGTCTAGGTCAATTGTTACTCTCGAATCATGTAGGCAAAATTTTCGAAATACGTAATCCGGTATAGATGTAATAAGGTTATTTTTCAAATTTACATTGATCATTCCATTTTCGTTATCAATAGATAAATTAGCTTTATGAAACTCTGTGACATTGATCATATTAGTAGATAAATCCAGTAAAAGTTCATTTGTGGTAGAAAACACCAAGCTATTTTTGGCTAACGAATTAATTGATACTAAACCAAAATCAACATGCTTTAAATTCGGCAAATTGGTAAATGAATTCGACTCAATTAATCTCACATAATTGTAACTGGGTATTACAGTATCCGATAAAGTGACTTGTTCCAAATTTACAAAATTATCAAACCTAATATTGAACATGGTAAAATCTAAATTAATTTCTAATCTAGTTACTGTTTCCGAACGTATGTCCAGCATATGTTCGACCACAGATTGAGCACATTGTTCCAAGTTTAAATTACTAAAGTTGAGCTTAAAAATTTCACTAATAGGTTCAGGGTGGTTTGATAAATAGTTTAAATTTAAAGCGTCAGTAGTTAGGTTGTTTATGATTAAATTAACTGGTGATTTGTACAGGCTGATCATGTCGAAATGTATGTTACTTAAAGGTGGTAGGTCGTGGTGATCGTCGCAATCAAGTTGTCGGTATGTTGTGTCACATTCACAGCCCATTAGCTCCGAAACAGGTGGACATGTAAATGATTGGCACATATTAAACAAGATATTGAACATACCAAGCACAATTATTAAATTAAAATTATATTTTCTTAATGCGGTCATTTTTATAATTGAAATTAAGCAAAAATTATTTATTATGTAGTAATATGGTGTATGTATATTGCAATTAAAAGGTTAATAACAATAATAAAAATATGTGCACATCATTGTAGTTAGTAAATATTATAAATAAATATATTGTTTATTTGTAGCTTAGTTATTTTTAAAAACAATGAGCTTATTAGATAATTGTGCCTGATAGTTAATGATAAGAAAAAGCAAATAACAATAATAATTTTGCCTCAAAGTGTACATTACTTTATTATTGTAACTATAATAATAATATTATTATCAGAAACACATACTGTATTATTTTTTTATCCATTACTAAACAGTTTATATGACTTCCACCAGGGACAAATAAGTACACCAAAAGTGGTGCGAATTAAGTGTTCATTGATTACCGCATAATATGTTAAATCAAAACATTTAATAGTTATTAACATATAATTTTTTTGAGTTTAAATAAACTAATGTATGCCCTGAATAAATAAATATAATTCAACAAAATTGTCTACTGTATGCTTTAGCAAACTTTAACCCGGATAAGATTATGTGTTAAGTTTTATTAATTATTTCAATTACAGTAATATATTCTACGTGCTGTATAAGTTACAAATGATTTTACATTAAATAGTTATTACTGTATATTATTCGCACATTTAGTTTCAAAATAATTAAATTCACATATTTATGGCACTTATGGAGCACTGGTTGCCATCTATTGAGTGAGAAAGTGCCTAAAATGAGAGTACAGTCGATGCGCGCAAAGCGTTCTCACTGCCAATCATTATAGCATTAGTGCACCATTACGTCTGTGGAACATGAAAGGTAAATCCCAATCTAGTGGTAACTGTGCATTTTGGTGGGGTAGACATTTGTAATACAGTGCTAAATGCCATTTTGGCCCTAAGCATTCCCACTGTTAAGCCTTTGCCGCATGAAATTTATTTTGTACTAATAATCCAGAGGGAGATCATAGCGACGGTCAATATGTATGCAGTGCTGCCGATAGGAGGCGTTTGTGTGGCGTTTGGGTCGAGTATTAAAGTGTTTTGGCAATCAATGCGAGAGTAATACACAAATGCAGTGAACAGTAATGCTGTGACTGCGAGACCCCAAGCATTGCAACGGCTATTGAATAACACACTCAACATCACACACACTCCCCCGACATATAGAGTCACAGTATTTGTGAACACTTTGCGGTCTTTTCTCACACAACCAGTGAAAGTGAAGTCAAAACTTATTGTCAAACCATTTGTCACAACAATTATCACCGCAACTGATCCACAACAACAAGACACTCACCACTGGACACAACCATCGCTGACACCACACTCACGGCTCACCTATTGGTTGATGGCATGGATTATGGGATCAATTGATGTCTTCGTGAAGTGTTTTGAGGCATTGATTGGCGTTTTTGGTGACCATTTGGTGATCACATCCAGCGATTGGTGTCCAACGAGTGGTCCACCAATTGATGGTCGCGTGAAGTGATC